ATAGATAGACAGATAGACAGATAGACAGATAGATAGATAGATAGATAGATAGATAGCTTTGAGAGACACTTGGTAATTTAAAGTCTGTCGTGACATCTTCACACAAACAAGAAATTCAAATTAATGTGACTTTATGTATGTTTTCAGACTGTTTGACCGGATTGTTCTGTGAGTGTGTGTTCTTCATCATGATTAGCGCATAACATGACTTGTTTTTTTTCTCAGATTACACCTCTCTACGTCAAGTAGGGTTAACCATCGCTGCGGTTCTCTTTGTGATGGGAATCATGGTGCTTGGTTGTAAGTAAACCTAACTTCAAGTCTCAGTCCTGATTGCTTTTATAAACCGTTTATAAACCGTTGCGTTTCAAATCCCCAAACCCCTCTCCTCTCTTTTTTCAATCTTCCTCCATCTGAAAGGTGGCAAAGTGAAACGAATACCACGGTGTCATATTGGCAAAGGAAGGTGAGCAAAAACTCTCTAGTGTGTGTGTTTGTGTTTGTGTGTGTGTGAGGCTGTGAAGTTCTTTTCAATGGCATTTTGTGTAAAGTTGTCATAGATTTTGGCACTGGAAATTGGGTTTATTAACGGATACAGTAATCCATGATGTAAGCTCTACTGTAAACTGCTAATTTAGGCAAATGTAGAAGTTAATTTGAGAACATATGCATGCTGTGTATAGTATACATGCTATATACTTGCTTTAAAAGTAGTCTGCAAGTATGCTCTTTCGTACACAGCCATTGTGTGCGTTTTGAATGCATTCAGTGATTGGGTGCATAATAACGTTTGGCCTCTTTTGTAACTTTCTGATGTGTCTTTATAATCATTATGGACTTCCTTGTGTTTAGACGCCATTAGCGCTTTTATATAGATTGTTCTAAAACATATGATTTCAATCTTGCCGCATATGATGAATGCGAACTGTAATGTGCTTATTATACACCTGTCTGTGCCATTTGAAAATGAAAATGTAAAAATAAAAATACACAGCCATTGCATGGACAGAATGTAAACCGAATTGACTTGTGCAAAGAGAGACAACAAAACAGTATATCATTTTAGTAATAAAAGAGAATGCATGCTGTGTATAGTATACATGCTATATACTTGCTTTAAAAGTAGTCTGCAAGTATGCTCTTTCGTACACAGCCATTGTGTGCGTTTTGAATGCATTCAGTGATTGGGTGCATAATAACGTTTGGCCTCTTTTGTAACTTTCTGATGTGTCTTTATAATCATTATGGACTTCCTTGTGTTTAGACGCCATTAGCGCTTTTATATAGATTGTTCTAAAACATATGATTTCAATCTTGCCGCATATGATGAATGCGAACTGTAATGTGCTTATTATACACCTGTCTGTGCCATTTGAAAATGAAAATGTAAAAATAAAAATACACAGCCATTGCATGGACAGAATGTAAACCGAATTGACTTGTGCAAAGAGAGACAACAAAATTCAATAATGACACGCTTCTCTCTGAAACGAGCCTTTTCAAATGGTTTCGGCTATTAAGGCAAAAAGGCATAATTTTCTTTCTCTGCAAAATAGTAACAAGCGGTAATGCTTTACCTGGAGAGAAAGCAGTTGTTGACTTGGCTTTACCTCTCACAGAGCTGCTCTGAGAAACCCGCTGGAGGCTTTAACAGACGATTTATACTATATTTAATGGAATATTTAATGCCCTGTGGGCTGTAAAGTTGCATTATATGACTTTGGAGTGAAGGTTAAATTTAGTAAGTAAGCAGTCATTTAAAACAGGCGTTTAATAAATCAACTTCAAGTTTACTTTTTAAAGGAAAAGGAAAATTTGTTAAAACATTTACTCACCCTCAGGCCATCCAAGATGTACCTGTAAATGAGTATGTTTCTTCATCAGAACAGATTTGGATAAATTTAGCATCACTTCTTCACTAACGGATCCTCTGCAGTGAATGGGTGCCATCAGAATGAGAGTCCTAACATCTGAACATCACAATAATCCACACAAATCCAATTTGGTAATTAACATCTTGTGAAGTGAAAAGCTGCATGTTTGTAAGAAACAAATCCTTAATTAAGGTGTTCTAACTTTAAACTGTCACTTCTGGCCAAAATCCATAATCCATAATAACACTTCCTCCAGTGAAAAAGTCCATCACCTGTTGTCCTCTCACATCAAAATCCACCAACATATTTGTTTAGAACTGTTTTGGACTGGTTTCAAATGGTGTTTGATCGGTGCATATTTCTCTCCTGATTCAGATCAGATGACTTCACTGGAGAAAGCAATATTATTGATAAAAGATGTGTATTGTAGCAAGAAGCAATGGTTTGAAGTTAAAAATGTCTTGATGGATTAAACAGGCAGTTTGTCACTTAAGGCATTAACTGATGGACTGGAGTCATGTGGATTTATTGTAGATTATTATGATGTCTTTAACAGCCATTTGAACTTTCGTTCTGACGGCACCCATTCACTGCAGAGGATCCATTGGTGAGCAAGTGACGTGATGCTTAATGTCTCCAAATCTGTTCCGATGAAAAAACAATCTTATCAACTGTACATCTTGGATGGCCTGAGGGTGAATACATTTAAAGCAAATTTTCATTATTGTGAAGTATTCCCACAAGATTTTACTGGTGCAAAAATCTGCTCACAAATTTGACAAAGAATTCGTTTTCTTCTTGGTCACACTGCATTGCTGCTCAATTTAATAAAGTTAAACTCTGGAAACGTTGACAAACTAGTTCAGTGTCAAAATGGCCTCCAGGTGAACTGATTTACTTTAAAGGTTTTTTGTTTTTGTTTTTCCTTGAGAAAACTAAGTGCACAACTAACCTTTCTTTTTTCTCTCTCTCCAATCTCTTACTAACCATTTTTTCTGTGTATGTAGCTCATACAGGGTGACCAGAAGTTAGCACTTCTCTCAGCATTGATCAGCTGGCTCGGCAATAAACAGAGGAACAGCAGGAAAACACAAAGGAGCCAGTCAGACCTGTTTCCACAGCGGTTACAGACTTACATTTCCCCCTTGTGAGAACAACATCATAAGGACAAGATGGAGAGGTCGTGTGTGTGAGCGTGTTCTTTATTTCAAACTGATCTCCGGGTTTGTCACACAGAGGAGCCGGGGAATAAGATGTGTGCTATCGTGCGGCACTAAACGCCAGCGGTAACACAACGGCTGGGACTTCGGCAGATCCCAGCGTAATCACGCGTCTCAGACACAAAGTCCCTTCATCCCTCTGCTCTCCTGCACCAAACTGCTCGGTTTAAGTGTCAAACTTTGTACAACGTAGACCTGTACTTGTGTTTTATTATCATTATTATTTCAATACTGTGCATCCTCAGATGTGTCTATCTTTTGGAAACGGCAAGAAGCGTTGTGTGGCTCACAAGTGCCCTCAAGAGGCCTTCAGACACATTTATTATGAGTTCTCCCAAGAGGAGAGAATAAAAACGGTTTGGCTCAGTCTGTTTAGAGATTCATGTATCTGAATTCATGTCAAAAAAAGCATCTTTATCAGTGTATAAGGCCTGAGTTTAAAATAAGTGAAGTTTCATATTTCTTATCTTGCATAAGTTTGGTTGGGCTGTCAGTGGAAAATTTGTATTTGCTGATGTCAGGGGAAAAATGAAAATATCAAGACCATCTCTCAGTGACATTTACCATTAGCATATATCTGCTGGAAAAGTATGCAAGGTGTTTATGTAAATATTCTATAATTCGCCCAAAAAACACATTTGGTCATAAAAAAAGCTGATTATTATTTTTTTCTTCCATATGCATAAAAGGAGATCTGTAGATGCTCGTTTATGAACAACAAAACCGAATGGTTGTTAACTAAAGCAAGCAAGCAAGCAAATAAACAAACAAACAAACAAAGTTATTTTAAATAAAGATGAAATAAAAGAAAATCGAAATATTAGATGAAAAACTTAAGCTTTAAAAACTTCAATGAAAATTAGAAAGTATGTTCCTTTGGCAAATAATTGAAATAAAAAGCCGTAAAAGTACTAAAACTAAATCTGAAATAATAATGAATAGAAATATGTAAAAATATGTATAAAAAAGTAATGAAATGACTAAAGTGTAAACTAAAATTAAAAAGAAAACTGAAAATATAAAAGCTATTCAAAATATTAATAAATACTTTAATACTAAATGGCAAGCACCAAAAAGTATGAATTATAATAATTCTTATTATTTAAATGTATTATTACTTTAAAAAAAAAAGTAATTTTACGTTTACGTTTCCAGTAACACCAATGGTGTATAATCATGCAATGAGTAGCTGATGATGATGATCAAATGTTTCATATTAGAATAAATACCAAACTGTAGTCCTGGTGTAAAACTATGCATTTAGTCATTTTTATGATCTCTATACTAATTCCCACCCAAAACCGATACATACAGTTTGCAGTATAATACTAGCACAGCTGTTGAGAACAATAATGTTTATTTAAAATAGGTCTCATACAACAAATAGATGACAGGTTGTCTTATAAAATATATACAGCAACAGGCATTAACCTTTAAACTTCAGTAGAAATCACACAAATGTCCATTAATAATGGCAACAGTTATCATGAGGAATCAAGAATGTGCACTGTCAATGCTCTGGACTCTGTTCTTATTCACTGGGAGTGTAGTATAGTACATTATCAAACTGTTGGTCAAATGTACTCAGAAATTCAAATTAATGGAGTACTGAAAATAAGGCGTATATCGACTACTGCATGATTTATTACGCTGCTTTATCCAGTGACACTGTGCTACAAAAGAGTTCAAAGAAAAACACTACTGATAACATTTATAAAAGAAAAATATAAAGATAGATAGATAGATAGATAGATAGCTTTGAGAGACACTTGGTAATTTAAAGTCTGTCGTGACATCTTCACACAAACAAGAAATTCAAATTAATGTGACTTTATGTATGTTTTCAGACTGTTTGACCGGATTGTTCTGTGAGTGTGTGTTCTTCATCATGATTAGCGCATAACATGACTTGTTTTTTTTCTCAGATTACACCTCTCTACGTCAAGTAGGGTTAACCATCGCTGCGGTTCTCTTTGTGATGGGAATCATGGTGCTTGGTTGTAAGTAAACCTAACTTCAAGTCTCAGTCCTGATTGCTTTTATAAACCGTTTATAAACCGTTGCGTTTCAAATCCCCAAACCCCTCTCCTCTCTTTTTTCAATCTTCCTCCATCTGAAAGGTGGCAAAGTGAAACGAATACCACGGTGTCATATTGGCAAAGGAAGGTGAGCAAAAACTCTCTAGTGTGTGTGTTTGTGTTTGTGTGTGTGTGAGGCTGTGAAGTTCTTTTCAATGGCATTTTGTGTAAAGTTGTCATAGATTTTGGCACTGGAAATTGGGTTTATTAACGGATACAGTAATCCATGATGTAAGCTCTACTGTAAACTGCTAATTTAGGCAAATGTAGAAGTTAATTTGAGAACATATGCATGCTGTGTATAGTATACATGCTATATACTTGCTTTAAAAGTAGTCTGCAAGTATGCTCTTTCGTACACAGCCATTGTGTGCGTTTTGAATGCATTCAGTGATTGGGTGCATAATAACGTTTGGCCTCTTTTGTAACTTTCTGATGTGTCTTTATAATCATTATGGACTTCCTTGTGTTTAGACGCCATTAGCGCTTTTATATAGATTGTTCTAAAACATATGATTTCAATCTTGCCGCATATGATGAATGCGAACTGTAATGTGCTTATTATACACCTGTCTGTGCCATTTGAAAATGAAAATGTAAAAATAAAAATACACAGCCATTGCATGGACAGAATGTAAACCGAATTGACTTGTGCAAAGAGAGACAACAAAATTCAATAATGACACGCTTCTCTCTGAAACGAGCCTTTTCAAATGGTTTCGGCTATTAAGGCAAAAAGGCATAATTTTCTTTCTCTGCAAAATAGTAACAAGCGGTAATGCTTTACCTGGAGAGAAAGCAGTTGTTGACTTGGCTTTACCTCTCACAGAGCTGCTCTGAGAAACCCGCTGGAGGCTTTAACAGACGATTTATACTATATTTAATGGAATATTTAATGCCCTGTGGGCTGTAAAGTTGCATTATATGACTTTGGAGTGAAGGTTAAATTTAGTAAGTAAGCAGTCATTTAAAACAGGCGTTTAATAAATCAACTTCAAGTTTACTTTTTAAAGGAAAAGGAAAATTTGTTAAAACATTTACTCACCCTCAGGCCATCCAAGATGTACCTGTAAATGAGTATGTTTCTTCATCAGAACAGATTTGGATAAATTTAGCATCACTTCTTCACTAACGGATCCTCTGCAGTGAATGGGTGCCATCAGAATGAGAGTCCTAACATCTGAACATCACAATAATCCACACAAATCCAATTTGGTAATTAACATCTTGTGAAGTGAAAAGCTGCATGTTTGTAAGAAACAAATCCTTAATTAAGGTGTTCTAACTTTAAACTGTCACTTCTGGCCAAAATCCATAATCCATAATAACACTTCCTCCAGTGAAAAAGTCCATCACCTGTTGTCCTCTCACATCAAAATCCACCAACATATTTGTTTAGAACTGTTTTGGACTGGTTTCAAATGGTGTTTGATCGGTGCATATTTCTCTCCTGATTCAGATCAGATGACTTCACTGGAGAAAGCAATATTATTGATAAAAGATGTGTATTGTAGCAGGAAGCAATGGTTTGAAGTTAAAAATGTCTTGATGGATTAAACAGGCAGTTTGTCACTTAAGGCATTAACTGATGGACTGGAGTCATGTGGATTTATTGTAGATTATTATGATGTCTTTAACAGCCATTTGAACTTTCGTTCTGACGGCACCCATTCACTGCAGAGGATCCATTGGTGAGCAAGTGACGTGATGCTTAATTTCTCCAAATCTGTTCCGATGAAAAAACAATCTTATCAACTGTACATCTTGGATGGCCTGAGGGTGAATACATTTAAAGCAAATTTGCATTATTGTGTGAAGTATTCCCACAAGATTTTACTGGTGCAAAAATCTGCTCACAAATTTGACAAAGAATTTGTTTTCTTCTTGGTCACACTGCATTGCTGCTCAATTTAATAAAGTTAAACTCTGGAAACGTTGACAAACTAGTTCAGTGTCAAAATGGCCTCCAGGTGAACTGATTTACTTTAAAGGTTTTTTGTTTTTGTTTTTCCTTGAGAAAACTAAGTGCACAACTAACCTTTCTTTTTTCTCTCTCTCCAATCTCTTACTAACCATTTTTTCTGTGTATGTAGCTCATACAGGGTGACCAGAAGTTAGCACTTCTCTCAGCATTGATCAGCTGGCTCGGCAATAAACAGAGGAACAGCAGGAAAACACAAAGGAGCCAGTCAGACCTGTTTCCACAGCGGTTACAGACTTACATTTCCCCCTTGTGAGAACAACATCATAAGGACAAGATGGAGAGGTCGTGTGTGTGAGCGTGTTCTTTATTTCAAACTGATCTCCGGGTTTGTCACACAGAGGAGCCGGGGAATAAGATGTGTGCTATCGTGCGGCACTAAACGCCAGCGGTAACACAACGGCTGGGACTTCGGCAGATCCCAGCGTAATCACGCGTCTCAGACACAAAGTCCCTTCATCCCTCTGCTCTCCTGCACCAAACTGCTCGGTTTAAGTGTCAAACTTTGTACAACGTAGACCTGTACTTGTGTTTTATTATCATTATTATTTCAATACTGTGCATCCTCAGATGTGTCTATCTTTTGGAAACGGCAAGAAGCGTTGTGTGGCTCACAAGTGCCCTCAAGAGGCCTTCAGACACATTTATTATGAGTTCTCCCAAGAGGAGAGAATAAAAACGGTTTGGCTCAGTCTGTTTAGAGATTCATGTATCTGAATTCATGTCAAAAAAAGCATCTTTATCAGTGTATAAGGCCTGAGTTTAAAATAAGTGAAGTTTCATATTTCTTATCTTGCATAAGTTTGGTTGGGCTGTCAGTGGAAAATTTGTATTTGCTGATGTCAGGGGAAAAATGAAAATATCAAGACCATCTCTCAGTGACATTTACCATTAGCATATATCTGCTGGAAAAGTATGCAAGGTGTTTATGTAAATATTCTATAATTCGCCCAAAAAACACATTTGGTCATAAAAAAAGCTGATTATTATTTTTTTCTTCCATATGCATAAAAGGAGATCTGTAGATGCTCGTTTATGAACAACAAAACCGAATGGTTGTTAACTAAAGCAAGCAAGCAAGCAAATAAACAAACAAACAAACAAAGTTATTTTAAATAAAGATGAAATAAAAGAAAATCGAAATATTAGATGAAAAACTTAAGCTTTAAAAACTTCAATGAAAATTAGAAAGTATGTTCCTTTGGCAAATAATTGAAATAAAAAGCCGTAAAAGTACTAAAACTAAATCTGAAATAATAATGAATAGAAATATGTAAAAATATGTATAAAAAAGTAATGAAATGACTAAAGTGTAAACTAAAATTAAAAAGAAAACTGAAAATATAAAAGCTATTCAAAATATTAATAAATACTTTAATACTAAATGGCAAGCACCAAAAAGTATGAATTATAATAATTCTTATTATTTAAATGTATTATTACTTTAAAAAAAAAAGTAATTTTACGTTTACGTTTCCAGTAACACCAATGGTGTATAATCATGCAATGAGTAGCTGATGATGATGATCAAATGTTTCATATTAGAATAAATACCAAACTGTAGTCCTGGTGTAAAACTATGCATTTAGTCATTTTTATGATCTCTATACTAATTCCCACCCAAAACCGATACATACAGTTTGCAGTATAATACTAGCACAGCTGTTGAGAACAATAATGTTTATTTAAAATAGGTCTCATACAACAAATAGATGACAGGTTGTCTTATAAAATATATACAGCAACAGGCATTAACCTTTAAACTTCAGTAGAAATCACACAAATGTCCATTAATAATGGCAACAGTTATCATGAGGAATCAAGAATGTGCACTGTCAATGCTCTGGACTCTGTTCTTATTCACTGGGAGTGTAGTATAGTACATTATCAAACTGTTGGTCAAATGTACTCAGAAATTCAAATTAATGGAGTACTGAAAATAAGGCGTATATCGACTACTGCATGATTTATTACGCTGCTTTATCCAGTGACACTGTGCTACAAAAGAGTTCAAAGAAAAACACTACTGATAACATTTATAAAAGAAAAATATAAATGGATAATCTTTTCATAAAACTATTTTAAGTATACATTTTTGCTGACAGAATACCTTACATTACATAAAAGAAAATAAGCGCTGATGTCAGAAACAGCCTCTATTGAAAGGAAATACAATACAATCTCTCATGGTTTTCTCTTCAAAGACTGTTGAGAGCGACCTTCAGAGGGAAAATCTGCATCTGCATTTTCCACTCCGTTCTTACTTCAACCACTAAGAGAAACCGGTAACAGAATTGAAATGTGAATCTGTGTGAACCGAATGTTATCTTACATGATAACAAGATGTACATGATTCATTTGTGGAGTTACTTGAATGGGGGAATATCAAAGCTTTTTATTTTTATTTTTTACAGTATAAAGTCCCTCACACGGCATAAAGCAACCTGCCCAAAAAGCCCAAGAGAAAGATGTTGGAGTTAATAAAACCCAACGGTTTATTAAAAAAAAAAAATCTATTAAAAAGTGGGAGGAAAATGTCAAAATGATGTGAAACTGGCTTTCAGAATGACTCAAAGGAGCTGAAATGTTTTTTTTTTCTTTCTGTTTTTTCCAATTCCAGTTATCTGAATGCTATTGTCTAAGGACACCTTTAGCAAATGATTTACCAGAATAGCTATATTGCAAATCTTGATTAATATTACACACTAATGCCTTTATACACACCCACACGCATCAAAGTAACAAGCTCAAGCTGTCTGATGCACGCAAGATTGGATTTCATTTAGATTTAAATAGAAAACCGGCAAGCTCAAGAAAAGCAGGTAATCAAGAAACAGAAAATTCAGCTAGAAAGGAAATGGAAACATTTTTAACAAGAGATATGGGTTAGCAGCCCTCCCATGTTGTACGTATATACACAGGCTGGGTGGACAGACAGTTATTAGCTACATAAAAATTCAAATTTTGTATTTTATATTCATAAAAATATTTATTTATCCTAATGTCATTCCATGTCTGATTGACTTACTTTCTTCTGTATAACAATGTTGAACAGCAAGTCAATGTGGTCCAATGTTTTTGGACCCCAAACGTTCTTCTTAATATCTTGTTTTGTGTTCAACAGAAGAAAGTAAGTCATATAGATCTGGAATAATATTAGGGTCAGTAAATGATGAGAAAATGTTCATTTTTGGGTAAACTGTCCCTTTAACAAGATAGCAAAAAAATCACAGAAAAACTTTGCCTCAGCAGTGTTAAAAGTGTTTGCTAGCCTGTCCTCTTTGTGTAAATTCAGAGTAAAAATCTGAGAAGCTCTGAGTCCCGAGACTCAGGCTAAAAGGGCTTTGATTGATTTCCATTTTAATCTAAAAAATGGAAGAAAAAAGATGAGAGAGGAAAGAGGAAGATAAAAGTAAGCAGCTCGTTATAGTGTCTTAGTTTCAATCGATGATGCTGTGGATACACTGGGGTCCAAAAGTCTGAGTCCACACTAAAAATCTGGGATTCAAAATCTGAAAATAGGCTATACAATTGAAAAAGTAAAAAATGGTATTATCTATTTCCACTTATTTCGTTATAATTGATTATGTAATGTGTCTTCAAATGTTTCTAATGTTGTTAAATTGGGGGGGGGGGGGGGGTTTTTTTTTTTCACTTAAAAACTCGTAGAAAATTTAAAAA